ACCTCAAATTTCCACTTTGTTTTCTCCAACATGGCCTTAACAGGGAGGGGGGGGGGCCTCATTCATCAGGTGTCTACACCATGTCAGATATAAATTCAGGCTATACCTATAGTCTGCACAGACAACTTAGTGGTGAAGAAGCAGATGTTAATACCAGCTGGCTGAAATAAACGTCTGAGCATCTTATAGACTCTGCCCTGGCAGAAAAATGGGGACATGTTTTTTATAGGCTGATGAAGGTAGAAGTGTAGGGTCCCTATTTGGCCTTTGCTGGCATACACTAGGGTAGGATCATAGATATTTTTGTTGGGTTTAACAGATAAAGAACAGTTATTAAATAAAAGTTCTTTGTTTGCTGGTTTGTTTCTTCCAGGTCCTTCAGCTAAAAAAATAAAACTTTTTGTAGAGAATGTTTTTCCTCTCCTTCCTTCCCTCCCTCCCTCCCTCCTTCCCTCCCCCATCCCTCCCTCCCTCCCTCCCTTCCTTCCTTCCTTCCTTCTTTCCTTCCTTCCTTCCTTCCTTCCTTCCTTCCTTCCTTCCTTCCTTCCTTGTACTGGCCTTAGAGTTGCTCTCAGGGGCCTGGGTGCTGTCTCTGAGCTTTTGTTGCTCAAGGGTAGCACTCTACCACTTGAGCCACAGATCCACTACTAACTTTTGTTTTGTTTTTGGCAGTTAATTGGAGATAAGTCTCAGAGACTTTCCCACCCTGGCTGGCTTGGAATTGTGATCTTCAGATCTCAGGCTTTTAAATAGCTGAGATTAAAGGCTTGAGTCACCAGCATCTGGCAAGGATGTTTTTTTTTCTTTTGGTCTGTATCCAATAGTATTTTCATGTTGCTGATTTATATAGCTCTGAGATATTTCAGGCAAAAAAACTCCAGAACTACCTGCATATTTTTTTTCCTTAGGCTGTATCTAGCTACTCTGCCTTCCCTCTACCTTAAAGAGTCTGCTTGTGCTTATTTTGGATGTCATGTCTAGAACTGTTACTATGCTTGGGGAGGAATGGGGAAAACTATGTCTATTTCCTCTTTCTGGAAGAAAGCTTTTGTATGTACTTTTTGTTGTCAGTCATGGGGCTTGAACTCGGGGCCTAGGCACTGTCCCTGAGCTCTTTTGCTCAAGGCTAGTAATCTACTGCTTTGGCCACTTTGAGCCACAGTGTTACTTCTGGTTTTCTGATGGTCAATTGGAGATAAAAGACTCTCAAACTTTCCTGTCCAGGCTGGCTTTGAACCATGATCCTCATATCTCAGCCCCTTGAGTAACTAGGATTATAGGCATGAGCTATCAGCACCTGGCTCTATACAGTTTTAACCCTGTAAACATGAGGTACAGAAATCTCACATTATCACCTCCAACTTTGTCATTTTTACCTATATTGTGTTATTTAATTTGGGAGGAAATATGAGTGTTCTAACCCTTCCTAGGTTGTAATCAAGTTTACTAATCCCCGTGTTCTCACTGAAGTCTTTATTTATTTTTGTTGGACATGGGGCTTGAACTCAGGGCCTGGGTGCTGTCCCTGAGCTCTTTTGCTCAAGGCTAGCACCTTACCACTTTGAGCCACAGTGCTACTTCCAAGTCTATTTTGATGACTAAAACTGTCTCTCTTCAATTATGATCACCTATCTATGTTTGTAACTGAACTCAAGGTTCTAGAAGCTGGGTATTTCCTCAGTCTCCCACACCACTTCTGCTTCCTGTGGTCTTCTTCAGTTAACCTTAGATGATTGTGAAAAACTAAGTCTTGCCTCCTCCTGACAAACCTTACAACTAAACAGAAGTCAAGTCCAAGAGAAGCCACATGAGTTAACGCACTGCAGCAAAACATTGTGTCACACAGCTCCCAGCTTTGTTCTAGCCCACCCTCCAATTTATCTAGGCATAACTTTTAGACAATGAACTCATTACTTTTACACTATCTTCACAAGCTTAAGAGGAGGTCATCAATCAGTTGTGTCTAATTAATGAAGGGAATACCCTCACATGCCTGGATGATCTCCATGTCCTCATGGATGTAAGCCCTGTAAAATAAGGACCATGCCTTGTCTTGTGCTTTCATTGCCTTTTGTAAGATGTTTCCTCAACACACACCACAAAACACAGCAAAGGCATGACACACTCCTTAACACATTTACTTCCTGGTAATTTGTGTTACGTGGCATTATACCCTCTAGTGGAATAATTGAGTATAAAATAAATGATTATTTCAGAGATTGTGAACTCATGAGGAGAAAAATAACACAGGGAATGGTGATAAAAAGTTACACAGAAGGACAACTTTAGAAGAGTCAGAGTTGGCCTCTGACTTGATTCACAGACCTCCATATAGGGTTATATAAGATATAGGAAAAAGCATTTTTAATTAGAAGAGTCAGTTGGCCTCTCTGAACAGATGTAAATTAGGAGCTGGAAGCAGATGCTAAAAGATCTTTGGGAAGAGCTTTCAAGGAAAAGAGAAGAGCAAATGAAAGATTCAGGAACACAGATTTTCCTCAGAGTAGATGGTTACACTCGCAGGAGACATTATTCTGTGACAAGAAGTCTCTAATGCCATGATCTGAAGCAGGTCATAGCCCTGAAGCTGTAGCACAGTAAGGAGACCCTGTTCACATTGACATCACAATATCCAACATAGCTGTCACCCAACCCAGGTAGGGAACAAGCTCTATGCTAACCTACCTATAAAAGTCTTAATCCCAGCATCTTCTCACTGCTCTATAGACTTTCTCTTGCTCTATTGCCATCCTCTGCTGACTATCTTGAAACTTCCTTCAATCTTTGACACTGCTATTTCAGTGATTTTTCTAGTTACATCCACCACCATACCATAACATACTCACAAGCTTTGAGACACTTTCTAATGACTATAGAATATACACTCGAATCTTCCCTGATGAGTATTTGCCTTCTTCCAGGAGACAGAATATCATTATCCTATTAGCTAGGCACTAACATATCCCACACCCTATCTACCATTTGGCTAATTAATGACTCTTCTCTGAGAGACCTTGTTCTTTGAAAAAAAATTCTTCCCATATTTCACATTTTTTTTGTCAGTTGTGGGGCTGAACTCTGGGCCTGGGCACTTTCCCTCAGCTCTTCAGCTCAAGGCAAGTGCTCCACCACTTAAGCCACAGAGCCACTTCCAGTTTTCTGGTGGTTTATTGGAGATAAGAGTCTCACGGACTTTCCTGCCTGGACTGGCTTTGAACCTCGACCCTCAGATCTCAGCCTCCTGAGTAGCTAGGATTACAGGCGTGAGCCACCGATACCTGACACATGATTTCTTCAGTACGTGTTGAAATCCTTTTCCTTGGTTGAGAGATGGACAGGTAGCATAAAGTTAAAATTTACATTATTCTAACACCAATTTTCTTCTCTGTAAGCAGAGAAAACTTTCAGTCTTTAGAAGAAGCATCCAATAAGTAACATTACTTAGTAGATAATGAACTTCTCCCTTGACAGAAATTAAAAAACACACTCTTTTGCTATTTTAATTTATAATGTACAAAGACACAAGGCCTTGACTAAGCCTGTAAAAACATTTGAACCAATGTTTTTACAAGGTGTGTTCCATTTTCACATTATAATAACCATTTGTTAAGTAGGGAATTTTCCTCCTACTATCTTTTGTTTTTCACCTAGAATGCTTATTCCTTTTGTCTAACTGCAAGTTTATACCTTCTGATAAACATCTTCCTATTCCCACATGCCACTTCTGATAACTACCATTCTACTCTCTGCCTCTTTGAGTTCTGTTATTTCAGATACTACATATAAGAATATTCAGTGTTGGGGCTGGGAAGGTGGCTCAGTGGTAGAGCGCTTGCCTTGCATGCATGAGGCCTTGGGTTCGATTCCCAAGTACCACATAAGCAAAAAAAAAAAAAAAAAAAAAGAATATACAGTGTTTGTTTTCCTGTGCCTGGCTTATTTCCTTAGCACAATGTCATCCAGGTTCATCCAAATTGTCACAAATGGCAGGATTAGGATTTCATGTGTGTGTGTGTGTGTGTGTGTGTACATGCATGCGTGCTAGTTCTGGGGCTGGAACTCAGGGGTTGAGCACTGTCCCTGAGCTTTTGTGCCCCAAGGCTAGTCCTCTACTACTTGACCACAGCTCTTCTTCCAGCCTTTTGGTGTTGAATTGAAGAGTCTCACGGACTTTCCTGCCCAGGCTGACTTGGGGTCATGATCCTCCTCAGAGAGCCTCTGGAGTAGCTAGGATTACAGGTGTGAGCCACCAGTGTCCAGGTAAGGCTCATTTTTTATAAAGCACTGATTTGACTCTTCATTCCTTGGCCCAAACAACCTACAAGCTAAATGTGGAATCCTGTGGGCTGACCATACAAGGAGTAATAGGTTCTAATATTTACCCACTTTTTTTTTGGTCATGGGGCCTGAACTCTGGGCCTAGGTGTTATCCCTCAGCTCTTCAGCTCAAGACTAGCATGTTACCACTTGAGCCACAGTGCTACTTTTGGTTTTCTGGTGGTTTATTGGAGATAAGAGTCTCATGGACTTTCCTGCCTGGGCTGGCTTTAAACCAGGATCCTCAGATCTCAGCCTCCTAAGTAGTTAGGATTACAGGCATGAGCCACCGGTGTCCAGCTCCATCTTATTCTTGACATGAGGAATTTATACCTTTCTTAAGCTGAAATTTTTAGCACTCTCCCTATTTGTCATCGAAGGCTATATCTCTCACGAGGTTCCTGTCATTGACATTGTTTGACAATAGTTACATATATAGGGATTTTTTTTTTTTTGCAGACAAGAAAATCTTTTATTTTAAACCACAAATAATCAGCAGGTAGCTACAACTATCCATGTCTCATTAAAATCACATAAAACCTAGGTAAAAAAGCCCCACTAATTATTGCTCTAGAAAAACTGCATGAAAAATTCAAATATGCACAGTAAAAACGCCACAGGTTGCACAAGACTAAGTTTTTTAAAGTGAGGGCATGGAATGATGGATCAAATTTAAACATACATTTCCAATTATTAGAAAGGTATTTATTTTACTTGAGAATGATGAAAATTTCCAAAAAAGCATGATTACAAGAGGGTCAAATATCCATCTTTATATATACTATATGCCAACTAGTAGAGTCCTAAAAAAATTAGCTTTTACAAAATACTTGGTAAAAATAGCTTTTAAAAGTTGTCCCAAGAGGTAAATAAAATCACCCCCAATTTTCCATGGCAATTTATTCTCCTTCGTTATCTATAGATTCAGTTTTCTGTGCCTCTTTAGTTTGGTTTCACCATTTTCAGATGGGGCAGCGGTTTCCTTTCCAACTTCCTGCTTCTCCTCCTTCTTCCCTTTGGCTCCTCTGCTAATCTTTGCTCCAGGTTCTTTCTTAGCAGATGTTTTCCTTGGTTTAGGCTCAGGTTTGGGTGGCGGAGCAGGTTTTGCAGATAGCCTGACAGACCGCCTTGTGGGCTCCCGTTTGGTTACTTTGGGTCCATCTTTGCCCTCTGCATTCTCTGGAGACTTTCTCTTCGGCATAATGACTGTGTGGTGGTGGGGGGAGGGGGGGAGTACAAGCCGCTGGCTGGGTCCGGTGGCGCCTGGATGTGCAGTCCGCTGCTCCCTCCCGCACGTGGCACCGCGCAGCCCGCCTCCCCCATATATAGGGATTTTGAGATACCAAAGGGCAAGGGTTACATCATATTTTCTCAAATGTACATTCTATAGATACATATGAGTTGAAACGAACAAGCTGGGCTCTCAAGAAACATCTACTTTTATTTCATAGGAAAAAGTCTTAGAAATTACAGATGTGAAGAAATTTGTTCATGGACACACGGAATCCAGTAGACTTGTAAAATAGCCATCTCTATCCTGTATGTATGGTCTTCATTATACCAGATATTGGAGATTCCAACAATATGGAGAAAGGGAAAAACCACCTTTCTATTGATATTTTACCCTGCAACCTTGGTCTCTCATGGAAATAAGGGGAAATGGAGAGAAGACAACCCTTTCCTACTGCTTTTGGCAACCATTGCTTTAGTCATTATACATGAATTTCCAGGCAACCAGTTTCTCCTCAACCCATCTGATTCTTTCTTGTTTTCTCAGTGTTTTTCCAAACAGGAAGTTAAATCACTTAGTACTGTATCACAAAATATTATTTTTGAGAAACTTCCCATATGCTAATGAATACAGTAAATACTAATTTTTTTGAAAAATATCTCCATTAGTACCCTCTACACATACGCACACACACACACACACACACACACACACACACACACACACACACACACACACACACACACACACCAGACATTCTAACATTTCTGGCATCTAGCTAATAATTTTAAATGAATTTCTTCACTAGAAAGATTTAAAATAATCTTTCTACATTTTTATTATCTCTCAGTGGTTGTTCAAAGGAGTTACAATTTATGAATACAATACATCTTGATTGATGCTACCCCTTTCATCATACTAGAAAGATTCAGTATTTCAAAATTCAAATAGTACACAATGCTAATAACCTGTATATCAACTAAATTCCCTTCCAATGTGATCTTTACTATTATTTGCTTCAAAGTCTTCTACACCATCTCCCCCACTCTTGAAAAGTGTTATACAATTCATTATTCAAAATTCTTTAACTTTGCAGAATTTCTATTTCTCTGACCATTGAATATACCAAATCACACTGCCAAAAACATTGTTTCTTACCTTTCTTAGCCTATTTAATACCTGTTCCTGTTTGAAGTTTCAGATTAGATGCTACTTTCTTCCAGAAGCCTATAGTAAAACACAAATTCTGATCAGCTGTCCCTCTTCTGAGTTTCCAGTAAACCCAGGGCAATCTTACTACTTTTTATTTTATAACCCAGAACATGTTGCATTGTACATTCTAATTTACTGTAGTCCCTAAAAGGGCATACATTCTCTGAAAGCAAAAACTCTAGCCAGTTTTCAATGTCTAACACAGTGCCTATATGGGTAGATAGACTCTTATAGAGAATAAATGAGTGGACAAACAGGTTGATAATAATACATATATAACACATCAGTAGATCATAGTATATCTCCACACACTCTTTACTCCAAACATTGGTAGATTTACCCAAAGCAGACCCTTTCCAGATTAATGACTTCACATTTTGTCTGCATGCTGTCCATAATTCATGAGGTTATCTCTCCCACCCTTTCTCACAAGCACTGACTGGGACTTTTCTCTCAGTAGGTATGCCATCTCTTTACTATCCACATTCATATAGCATAGAACTGCAGTATAAAGGGCCAGGGAACCTGTCATAAGGAGAGGAGGGCAGATGATGAACCAGGAACAATTGTGACTCTTTTTTTTAATGCTGGTACTGGGATTTAAACTTGCTTTGGTTGCTTGCCTGCTCAGCTGGCACTCTATCACTTGAGCCACTTCTCTAGCCTGGCTTTTTGCTGGTTATGTTGGAGATAGAATTGCATGGACTTCCCTTCCCAGGCTGTCTTCAAATCCTGATTCTCTGGATCTCAGATTTCTCAGTAGCTAGGATTAGAGATGTGAGCCATTGGCACCCAGCACAACTGTAGATTATTGAAGCTTGAATACTAATAAAGCAGCAAATTTTAGTATATCTTTGAGATTGTATATTATCTTCTGAGACCTTATCTTATGAATTCTAATCCATCCCAATTTGGGCTGGGTTAGAATTTATGTTAGAGGCTGGGTGCCAATAGTAGCTCATGACTGTAATCCTAGCTACTCAGGCTGAGATACGAGGGTGAGATTCAAAACCAGCCTGGGCGGGGCTGGGAAGGTGGCTCAGTGGTAGAGCGCTTGCCTTGCATGCCTGAGGCCCTGGGTTCGATTCCTCAGCACCACATAAGCAAAAAGAAAAAAGCCAGAAGTGGCGCTATGGCTCAAGTGGTAGAGCTCTAGCCTTGAGCTGAAGAGCCAAGGGACAGCACCCAGGCCCAGAGTTCAGGCCCCATGACCGGACGCCCTCCCCCCCCAAAAAACCAGCCTGGGTAGGAAAGTCCATGAGATTATTATCTCCAATTAACCACAAAAAAGCTGGAAGTGGATCTGTGGCTCAAGTGGTAGAGTGCCAGCCTTGAGCAAAAAATCCCTGAGGAACAAAACCCAGACCTTGAGTTCAAGCCCCAGTTCTGGAACACATAAATAATTAGAGTATGTTGTGGTTTCAGGTTAAGAGCTGAAGAAGGCAGAAAGTTCCAAAACAGTTATTTGTGGAATGAGTAGATATGCACAAGGATGAGCATGACAGGTTGGCTGACCTTTCCATAATAGGCAAATGAGAAAAACTGAAAAGAGATGTCCAGAGTCTCCCCAGATCACACACATCATAATAGAACCAGGGTACCTTGGTACTGATTTATTTTATCAGAAGGCTTTATTTCCTTATTTCCTTATTGTTGGTTGTGGCCCTTGAATTTAGGGCCTAGGCGTTGTCCCTGAGCTTTTTTGCTCAAGGCTAGCTCTCTACCACTTTGAGCCAGAGCTCCACTTCCAGTTTTCAGGTAGTTAATTTGAGATGAGTCTTGCAGACTTTCCTGACTGAGCATGCCACCAGCACCTGGGCAGATTACCAGTGCCCCTGCAGTCTTGATTTACTTTATGTTGCTTCTGCATATGAAAATGTCCAGTTGCCTATGGGTCAGTGTGTGGTTTATACAAGCAAAAAGCCATAATACAAATCTTATTAGAGAATATAGAAAATTTGCTAAAAACGAAGCCAGCCAGGCAGAAATGTTCCCAACTTCTCTTTATTTTCTTAGAAACATTTGGAGAATCAACAACCACAAACCCTCGGTTAATGTATATGGGCCAGGAAAGATGGAAAAGAGAATAACATATTGACCCTTCTCACAACACTGCACTAGGCAGACTTTAAAGAACATACCAATCAGGCTGGGAGCATAAAGGAGGAGAAAAGGGGATCTCATAGGATCACAAATTGCAGCACACTCTTCTGACTCTCAGCATGTTTGCAATTAAGAAAACCCACAACCTGTGCATTTTATAGAATTGTTTTCCTAGTTATAATAAACAGGGATCAGAAAAAGAATCAGAAGAACATTTTATTCACACACAGTAAGACCAAAGGAGGATATTCTTAGGAGAGGAACTCAAAGACTCAATGCCTATGTGCATCTGATCATATAAAATAATAAATGAAACTACACTGTTGGTAGGAATGTAAACTTTGTCAATCTCTCTGAAAAGCAGTATGAAGGTTCCTGAAAAGACTAAACATAGAGCTTCCCTATGACCCAGCAATTCCCCTCCTGGGCATTTATCCAATTGACCACAAATGAGGCCACACTAAAGCCACCAGTACAGCCATGTTCACTCAAAATTGTTTAACATAGCCAAGATATGGCATCAACCTGGATGCCCCTCAGTGGATGAATGGGTCAAGAAAATGTGGTATATATACAAAGGTGCAATTCTATGCTTCCTTCAGAAAGAATGATATTGTACCATTCATAAGGAAACAGAAAGTAAGCCAGACTCAAAGAAACATAGGTTGCATGGTTTCCCTCATGTGGATAATTAGAATGTACCTATAAATCTACAAGCAAACACACTGTCAGTTAATAGACCAAAAAATACAGTGAGACATGATAAATTATACAGGATACTAGACATACAGTGAAACCAAAGGAGGTTATTCTTAGGAAAGGATCACAAGGGCTCAATGATATATTTTTTTTTTTTGGGTCCGGTCGTGGGGCCTGAACTCTGGGCCTGGGTGCTGTCCCTGAGCTCTTCAGCTCAAGGATAGCACTCTACCACTTGAGCCACAGCGCCACTTCCGGCTTTTTTCTTTTTGCTTATGTGGTGCTGAGGAATTGAACTCAGGGCCTCAGGCATGCAAGGCAAGCACTCTACCACTGAGCCACCTTCCCAGCCCTTCAAGGAATTTTTTAATCGGCCTTTATCACTACATATCCTAATTCTCTTTCCCTTAGCCCAATCTGTGCAGTTCTGTCATATATTCTTTCCATGACTCAGTGAGGTTGGATGATAGCCATCATACTTACCTCATCATATAGAATTATATACTTTTGGTCTCTAGAAGTTCATTCATCTATATATCCTCTTGATTCATAGAGTCCCTATTCCTGATATAAACCCTGATCATGTCTTAGATGCCTGGGACAGCATGCAAAATGACTGACACATTAGCAGTCTTCCTGTACCCCTAATTCATCAGCATTCATCTGTCTAGTTACAAATATGAACTGTATTTCATTTCACAATCCCAAATTTCACTCATTCATTTAAGAAATGTATTTAGTGAAAATATATTCAATGTGTACCATGAACCAGGCAATATTCTGGGCTTATGAGAAAATATTATTTGTTCAAATTTTCTTTTAATATATACCTAAACCTTCCTTGATTAAACAGACAATAACCACCAAAGTCTGATTCTTCTTGTTGTCTAGTCCATCTCAACAGCATCCATTCCAGCTAGCTTTAGTTTCCATGTTTAATAGTGCCTACAGAAGCTCTATAGGAAAGTTTATGTTGAAGGAGCAGAG